GAAACAAGACTAACTACCAATGAATAATGACTATGTAATGCAAATGCAATTTTGGCAAATTGTATGTTTCTAACAAAAATATTGGTGGTTTCAAAGGCAGGAAATATAAAAACGGAACAAAGAACGTTAGTCACAGAGCTCTGGAAATGGATCTTGAAGGAGGTGGGAAAGTATTCTGCTCAGTGCAGAAACAGTTGAAGTATGGTTATACCACCATAAATTTGCTGCCCTTTGAGTAAAAACTCATACTTCCTTATGAAAATTGAAACCTTCTGTGCTGTTGGATTTCAGATCTGAGTTGTTGTAACTGGACAATGGCTGTAAAAATATGTATACTGTAAAGATACCTTTATGTGGGGACCTCTGATCTGAATTTCAGGCCTTTGACTAACTGAGCAGAACTTGTCTGTTCCCCGTAAAAGCTATGGTTGATCTCCAGATCCTAGTTGGAAGTTGCCATGAAATATCAAAGGTAAGATTTTATCCACTAAGAGATGTGTAGAAGACAGAAAAATAGGCTTCTGCCTGAGAGAAATGGCTGGGAAAATGATGGGGGAGCTTTCCCCAAGAGTTTTAGAACCTGTTCCTGGAACTGATTTATGATTCAGGGGAATACTTCTTTGCTGCAAAGCTTCTACTTGGCCATCCCCCAAAGCATTTTAATTACCCATGTTGCTATTCAAGAAGAAATCCCCAAATGATCCATTACATTGAACTATGTGTGCAATCTTAGCTGCTTTCTAAAAATACTTAATGCATTTGTTAATTTGAATTCAAAGGCTTCAATTGAGTTCAATAGGTAGATTCTACCACCTTACAATCTTTTAAAGATAATAAAAATTTCTAGACAAACCAGCAAATGACAATTAGGGCTAGAATAAGGCCATTGCTGCTTGACCTTTTTTAAAATTTCTTCTTATTTGTGTGTATTAATGCTTTGCCTACACACAGTATGTGCACCATATATGTGCCTGATACTTGCAGAAGCCAGAACATGGCATCAGATACCCTGGAACAGATGATTGTGAGATTCCATGTGGCTACTAAGGGTGGAACATAAGTCAGTGATGAAAGATGAAAGAAAAACAATGCTCTTAATCAATCAGGTATCTCTCTGGATCCAGACAGTCCCATCTTAGGGTAGCATAGCCATTCGAAGAGATCAGTTTTCATCTAAATGCATGGGTATGTACGGATCATTTTGTTTTGCAAATACCATCTTTCATGTCTTTGCAGTTGGGTATCAATAAGTACCTTTTAGAAAATAAAGTTTCTTAAGAGATATTCTCACCAGATTATAGAGTTTAGTTTTGGTATTTCTCTGAGGACATGAATTTTGCCCTTCTAGTAGCTATGCTGAAAGATGCAATAACCACATATATTACAGTTACATCTTTGGATTAAGATAAATCTACATTAGATTCCAGATTTACTAGTTGCTTTGACCTTGAGAAGTATCCTTTGTTATTTAATCTTAAACTCCTCAAGGACAAAAATAACACCTCTTTCCTAGGTGTAAGATAATGTGTGATAAACATGACACATGGTGATTGTCAAAGAGCAGGTACTCATTGAACAAAATACTAGTGTTTGGTAAGCATAAAGTCATAAATTGATTTACTTGCACTCAGGGGATCAAGGTGGGACCTTTTTTGTTCAGTAGTAACATTTCAGGAAAATTATTTAGTATCTCTGGGCTTCATTTTTATCTGTAAAATAAAAGTAAAATTTTGAATATTGTAATATGGGATTATCAAATTGAAAGGAAATAATAGCTTTAACATGTTCAGCATCTACCTCACTCCATGAAGAAGCTCAATAAGTGTGTAGTAGTGTTTTGAGAAACTGATTCTGGTGAAGTGAGGAAAGATACTATTTTTGAGCTCCTTTGATGATAACCCTCCAACCTCCCAGGAACTCAATCCTTGCAAGAAATAGGAAGATGTTGAGGGTAGGTTGAAAGTTAGACTAAGTATAATTTTTAGAATTAATCTCCTTTTTAAAGTTTCTATTTAGATATCATACCCTTTTAATTCCCCTCAAGGATCTAATATTCTTTATTGTATATTATAAATATGATATCAACTCATAAAAATCCCCTGTGTTTTTATCAAAATGTTCACTAGGAGTAAACTGGTTTCAGTAAGGCTGTTGACTTCTATTACTCTAGGGTCAAACCAACTTGATGTTGCCTCAAACCCTTTAAAAAACATCTAAAAAAAGTGGATATTTCCAGTCACATTCTGACAGTTTCCTTTGTAAAATACCTTAGATATTTATCTGTCAAACAATAAGGAGTGTACAGGCATTTGTAGAGGTGTATGTTTATAAATATTTATGAAAATGGTAGAGACACATTACATTAAATTAGTCATTTTATTATGATAAATTTTATAAAAATGGTAATTCCATGTTACTACAGCAAATAATAATTTATTTGTAATATATTTTGTGTGTTCATGTATTTTGTTAAAGAATCAGCAACTTTAAGTAGTCAAGTTTTAACCCGAATCCCATGTAGGGAATGTGGTGCTAAGCTAATGGGCAAATGGTTCTAGGGAAGAAGTTTAGAGTAATAGAAACAGGGCTCTTTAAAATGGACAGTGATTCCTCTGCATGTGAATTCAATGGGGAGTTTTCATATCTGGTTTTAGTTTCTCTTCCATAAATAATGTATTGATAGCAACTATCTAATGATATTATTGACAGTAATCTTTAAAATATTTAAATATCAATGCCTTTAAAGTAAGGATTATGTATCTGGGTTTCCATGAAGAAATTTTCAATGACCATTTGGATGTTAGGAACGTTCATGAAAAGACAGAATGCATATGAGAGATGGTAAGTAGCATGCATGTTAGTGATGATGTGACTCGGATCTGTGTAGTGGCATTTCATTTGTTTTAATAAATAAAGCTTGCCTGAAGATCAGAAAAGTAAAATAGTCACACTGGCCAGCCTTATGTACCAGGCAGTGGTCACACACAACTTTAAACCCAGTAGTACACTAGCTTGCCATAGAAACCAGGCGGTAGTGGTGCATGCCCTTAATTCCAGAACTAGAGATGAATATAAAATAGAAGGAGAAAGGTCTCAGTCTCTGTCACATTCTGAGGTTTCCTGGAGGCAGGATCACTATTTTCAGACTGAGGTTGAGGTAAGAGCCAATGGCTGACTGCTTTACCCTTCTGGTCCTCAGGTTGAATCCCAACATATGTCTTTGCATTTTATTAATCATATTATAGATCTGTGACATATGGCAATAAGAAATTGTAGGAAATTCAAATTGCCATAACTCATTATGAAACAAGTTAAACATAATTATCTTGGAAAAGTGATAAAACATAACATAAGAACATTAGTTTCACTTGATATTTGAAATATCTCCCCAGAATCAACAGAATCCCTTTAGTGTATGGTACATATGCAATCATAATAGGAAAACACCACTTAGCATTTCCATAACTGAGCAATCAATTCATGAATCTAGCCATAAGAACAAGTATTTGTACAGGTATGGAATGAAAGACAAGATTTCTTCTAGGAGAAAAAAACCTGAATTAAGAGGGATTTACTTTATGTAATGAGAGGCCAAAATAACTCATTATTGTGCCAAACTTGCTTATGTAAATCAATCTGTCACTCAAGAAATTTCTAATATGAAAATACATTGTTAATGAGATGCATAGGTAAATATAGAGAATTTATATGAGGGAAATATATTATATTTAAGCAAGAGAACAATATGTCATATTTAAAATCTATCATAACATTAGCAATAATAATAAATAAATATATTTAGGTCTTTTAGAACTGAACATTATATCTCTTACACACATTAAATTACTTAATACTAATAGAGCAATGGTGATGTATGCTTTTAATCCCAGCACTGGAAAGGCAGAGGACGGTAAATCTCTGTGAGTTTGAGGTCAGCCTGCTCTATACAGCTAGTTCTAGCACAGCCAAGTCTACACAAAGAAACCCTATCCCAAAAAGAAACAACAACAAAAAAACACTTAACACTCACAACAATACTTTAGTATAGGCATAATCTTTCCATATTATAGATAAGAAATTGATGCAAATAAGGAAATACTAAAGCCACATAATAAGGAGAAGAATGAAAACACAACATGTTGAATATGGTAGCTTTTGAGTTAGATGCTAAAAGACTGAAGTGAAGATAAAAAGGAATATGTATTTATCTATTGTCTCTCTCTTCTCTCTCCCTCTGTGTGTGTGTGTGTGTGTGTGTGTGTGTGTGTGTGTGTGCGTGTGTGCGTGCACCCACAGGCACTCAATGCTCTCTGTGGAGATCAGGGGACAACTCTTTGTAGTTGATTCTCTCCAGGCACCTTGTGAAATATGGGAAACTAATTCACATTATTAGGCCTGTGTGCAAGTGCCTCTATTAGCTGAGCTGTCTTGCTGGTCCCTGAGAAGGTATTTTTTTCTCAGCCTGCTTAAATAAACATATAAATTAGAGAAAATATACATGAATGTGTGCTACAGGGACAAATAGAAGAGAAAATATATCACCTTCAAATTTCTGTCAAAAGTTCATGAAAAGAAGGCATTAGGTGAATTCAAGTGTCATGAAAAGGTAAACTGAGGCCACTCAATGAGAGGTTTGGACAGACAGATTCCATTTTTATATGTAATGATAACACTGTGATACAAGAGATGTTGGAATATATGTTGTCTTGGTCCTTTTCAAGCCTAGGGTCACTTGTGTCTTTTCTTCACAGGAATTTCCAAATATAAACCAGAATTCCATTGAATCAGAAACAGCAGCTTAATTCTCAGCTCTGTCAAATTTAGGAACTGCTATAAAAGAATAAGCCTGGTTCAGAATTTCTGAAACAAGCATTGAAAATAAACTATAGTTGCAAACTCAGCTTCTACCATAGACAAAGGGGGTTTGTACTTTATTCCCTTATTTTTTAATTTTACTTCATTCTCATACTCAGACTAAAGGTCACATTGATTGACCTGTTATGGCCAATAAAAACCTCACTACAGTATCCAGGTTTGTTCTCATGGGCTTTATTGACCTTCCCAAGTGGGAAATGCCCCTTTTTTTGGTTTTTCTCATGGTCTATCTTATCACCATTTTGGGAAACTTGGGGTTAATCATTATCATACAAGTGGATATACAACTCCATACTCCAATGTATTTCTTTCTGAGCCACCTTTCTATGCTGGATGCCTGCTACACCTCAGTCATCACCCCTCAGATCCTGGCTACACTGGTCAAAGACAAAATGGTCATCTCCTATGGCCAATGTGCTGCTCAGTTTTTCTTCTTTACCATTTGTGCAGCAACAGAATGTTTCCTGCTGTCTGTGATGGCCTATGACCGATATGTTGCTATTAGTAACCCACTGCTCTACACTGTTGTCATGAGCCCTAGAAGATGCTGGAGTTTGGTGGCTGGAGCCTATGGTGGTGGGCTGTTTGGGGCCATCTTAAGAACTACATGTACCTTTTCTCTCTTCTTCTGTGAAAATAATCAAATAAATTTCTTCTTTTGTGACCTTCCACCTCTGCTGAAGCTCTCCTGCAGTGACACAACAAATGTTGAGATCATTATTGTTTTCTTTGGGAACTTTGTCATTTTGGTGAATGCCTTGGTCATACTGATTTCCTACTTGCTCATCATCAAGGTTGTCATGAAGATGAAATCTTCATGTGGCAGAGTCAAGACTTTCTCAACATGTGTCTCCCACCTCACCGCTGTAGCTCTTTTCTTTGGGACCCTCATCTTCATGTATATACGAAACAGCTCAGGAAAATCCCTGGAGGAGGACAAGATAGTATCTGTCTTCTACACTGTGGTCATCCCCATGTTGAACCCTCTTATCTATAGCTTAAGGAACAAAGATGTGAAGGCTGCCTTCAGAAAGATCACTGGTAGATTCCAGGTTTCTCAAACCTTGCACAATTGAGTGAAAGGATGACTTAGTCATTTTTGTTCCTACTATCGGTATTTCCTAGGTGGTATACTATTCTTAGAATAGAGGAAGCAAGTAAGTATTGGAGAGTGCAAAGTACATAGTGGTGAAATGTGTATTTGAAATACTATTGTATTCCCTTTTTACCTCTGTTTGTCACTGCCAGTTTGTTAGTTGGCTCTAGTAACTACTGGTATTCTGCCTCATCATTTATAAGATCAGATTTTGCATTAGTTCACTTGACTTGAATTCTGGACTATCTTTCTCTCTTGTCTTAGTTTTCATCAACATTGCAACTTATTTGTGTAAAAGTTTATATCATGGGCTTGCTTTAAATAGTGAAGTATGGATTTTCACTTCTCTTTAGATGTATAAATGCTTGGTCAATGCAGTTATGTAGCATGCTGATATAGTAACGATACAGTACCAATTCCCTGCTTCGTTAGATTTTCTATCTGCTCTGGCCAAATTAACAAAGTTTGCAAATTGCCTTGCCACTCCTTAAATCACTGTATTTCCTTTTCTTTTTTGTCATCTTCTTCTAAGAGTTTCAAGATGAGATAAGCCACCTTTTATATTCTTAGGCCTCCACAAGGGCTAATGTAGTGTAGTTTTTGAAAGACACAATACATTGCTGTTCCTTCTCACACTTTTATCCTGGTTGTAAGAGGCTCTTACTAAGCATCCTGTGTCATGCATAGCACAGTGACTATAGACAGATATAGATAGTTTAAGCACACCTTATGTTCTGGGTCAAAGATCTGATTAAGGAGGAGAGTAACTACGTGCCCTTCACAAAACTGAGAAATACTTCAAAGCATAGTATTTATTTCCTTCACTTCTAAGTACAGGTTCTACATCAGTCAACTGCTTTGGAAATATTTTTTCATTCCTGGAAATGGTCTCATTTGAGTTTCAAGAAAATGAGAAAGACATTGTGACAAATAAAATTTTCATTTTGAAATCAAGGAAATAGTTTCTTGTTCTTCAGTGTCCTCAGATTATATAGGAGAATCTAAATCCTATTTTCTTTCTAGTGATACTTTGGGTAAATTAATTTCTCAGTCTAAAAGAGGTATAATAACTCTGAATTAAGGAGATATTACAAAATTCATACAACGACGAATATGAGAAATCCCAGAAAAAATCAGCTCTCAGTATCACCCATTCATTTTCTTTTCCATTTCCTTAGTTATTTATGTCAACCTATGAGCCTTGCAAAAAGTCTGTAACAATTGACCAGACTGGAAATGTTTATAAACCAAAATGGTAAAGAGAATGAACTGAGGGAAAGAATTAGTCCATGATTCTCAACATAAAACAAAATCAACTTGTATAAAAATCTGGCAATCTACAAGATATGTTTCCATTGTATGCATTATTTTAAAAGTAACATTACTTTGTATTTAATATATTAAAATTTTCACAATGAATTTTATTTGTTTTAAACAGATATTTATGTTAAAAATTCTCTTTACAAATGGACAGTTTTTCTAAAGGGGTGGCTACTATATAATTCCTGTCAATTTTTCCAGGTTAAACATTAAGCAAATAGCTGTAAATTATAAATGAGTTGCCAAAATATTTCTAAAGAATGATAAAGACAATATTGGGACTTTGTGAATAAAACCAGTATGATTTATCTCTTAGAATTTTTGAAATACACGGAGTTAACAAAGAAAGGAAATGATGTGCAAGGAAAAGTTTTCCCACTATAGAGGAAAAATGCCTTTCTTTTTAAAAGGGTTCATGTTAATTATACAAAATAATTGTCTACCTATGACATTTTCATATATGCATTATATATATATGATTTTATTTGCATATTGTGTCCATAGAGAATACATTCAGTAGTTGTTTCTTAGGAATATGGTTATTTCATTCAACATGATGATTGTTAGTTCCACCAATTTTCCTTCAAATGATATGAATTTATTCTTGATGACTGAGTAATACTCAATTGGGTGTGTATACCATTTTTTTCTGTCTATTCATCTATTGATACACACCAATCTACCATACTGTCTTCAATAAAAGCATTCCCTGGTTCTTCCTTTTGATTTCTTTCCTTCTAAGTGATGCAGTGTTGAGTAAGAACATTATTATAATAATCAATCTCTGAGATTTTATCTGCATATTTGAGTTATTTGGGATTCAAATTGGTATTATTTGTAATTGAGCCTAGTGTATTGTGCATGGCAATGGAGCACTCTATCACTTAATCAACTCCTAATATCTCTATTTGGATTTTAATCCTGCTGACTTTTAAATTATTTCATAAACACTTGGACATTAAATGTGACAAGTTCTTTTGTTCTTTGAAATACTGTCTGGAGTGGTTTATGATGGATTCACGCACTTTAAATGTGAATGATTAGATTTCATGTTGGGAGTAAAGGGCAGGAAAAATGAATTTTTAAGACACCAAATTTTCATATTTTGTGTAAGTCCTTGGAGGACTAGCATGATGTATAAAGAATCAGCAAGAATCCTTAATCCTCTATAAGTTTGTGAAGTTTATATACAGATGCTCTGATTGAACTGAGAAACCTCATAACAATAGCATCAAATGATAATTATCTCTCAATACATATATCCATGAGGATTTTGGGTGTCAGGATGGCAGACCTTAACGATTTTCAATAAAATTTAGTTCAATTTTCAGTTTCTCTATATGTGGTGTCTTCTGAATTTTCATTTCTCTCTATCTGTGGTGTCTTCTGTGATCAACAAGGGATTTGTGTGTAAAGTACTGGTTAATTAGATGGTTCCTAGATAGTCATAGCTTGAACATAAACTCAATCATTGGCAGTCTTCTTATTTGGAATCTTAGACCATTTGCATGCAAACCAGAAAGCTTGAACTATTTGACTTATAATACTCCTTTTAATTTTAATATCTTATGATAACCTACAAAAACCCTGCAGGTCTAAAATATGTAAACTGACAGCAGGAAAAACCATTGTGAAATGAGAGGGAACTCTGAATCAGGGTGGTGCTGCCAAAGTTCTTTCTAGGGATATTTAGAGATACTAGTTGTTTTAAATCTTTATGACCCACCCAAGAAGATTTAACCATGAAAATTTACATTCAGACTTAAATGCTACTCAGTCACAGGCCCTGACTTTTTGCCTCAGAGGCCCAGGTATGTATGTATAGTAGTTAAATGAAAAGATTGCTTAGAAAAAGAGAGCGCCACTGCTTGTAGTCAATTGACACAGGGTTGTGTCCTTGCCCTGTTGGCTGTGGCTGGGAAAGTGATACTATTAATGTAAGCCCAGCTCATCACCAGGGAGTGTGCAGATACTTTACAAAACATGCAGCAATGTGGTCAGGGAGAGGAAGAATTTTCTGCCACAATCTCCTTATTCTGTAGCTTAGGTGCCACCCATAAGCATATCTCCTTCCATTTTCTGACAGAGAAATGCAAATCTCCCAAGAATTTCTAAATGGAGAGTTCAGAATTAACCTCTTGAGAAATATGAAAGAGAAGTCAGGAGTATGCATTCTGCAACCAGACTTAGGGGCTCAAATCCAGATGTATGCCTAGTATGAGACTATTAAAGGGCTGCTTCTGCTTTCTATGCATAAATTACCTTCTCTCCTTAAAGTCAGGCTAGTAATGTAATCAAGCTGTGGTAATGTTGCATGGATTACATGAGCTAAGATGTTTAATTCAATAATCTACTTTACAGTTGTCTTTCCAACTATGTCTATCTCAGAAGACAGAATTTACACACACATATGCTCTCTCACACACACATGTAAACAGACATGTATGTGTGCATATGTATATATGTACATGTATATTTATATCACCTAATGTAGTCCTTAGGCATACACATACTAGGGCAGACCCTAAAATTTGTTGGACTTCCATTTCAAAGTTTAGTCTCAGGGAAAACGTTCTTGGCTAAAACTATTTCATAATCCCCAATTTTAATCAATTGTTGGGGTTTGTTTCTCATCTTTTATTAGTTCTTTGAGAATTTTTAGCTCATTGTGTTTTGATCTTATTCATCCTTCCTCTACCACCTCCACCCTGCACCTAAGTTCATTGTATCTTTTACACCGTGACTGACTTTTTAAAAATTATTATTGTAAAGTCAATACAATTTTTTTAAAATATTTTATGCCAAGTCTTGGAGGTACCTACCTTTAATCCATTTACATTGGAGGAAGAAGCAGGTGAATCTCTGAGTTGGTGGGCAACCTGGTACACAGAGTGAGTTTCATAACATCCAGGGTTATACAAAGAAAGCCCCCAAAACAAATAAAACTCTTTTATGTCTATGGTTTTTGTTTACATCATGTGTAATATATATATATTACATATTATATATATTACATATTATATATATATATATATATATATATATATATATATATATATACTTGGTGCCTATTGAGGTGAGAAGAGACACTGGAGATGTAGATGATTGTGAGATACCATATGGATACTAGGAATTAAATCTGGGTCCTCTGAAGTATCAGCCAGTGCTCTTGACTGCCGAGCCATCTCGGTGATGTGAGATTTCCCTCTGTATGCTGTGATTACCGTTAATGAATAAAGAACTGCCTTGAGCCTATAGCAGAGCAGGGTGAGGCAGAGCAGAGCTAGGCAAGGAGGACTAGACTGAATGCTGGGAGAAAAAAAGGGCAGAGTCAGAGAGAAACCATGTAGCCCTGCTGGAGCCAGATGGAACTTAAGCCAAAAAGCCACAGCCACAGGGCAATACACAGATTAAAAGAAATGGATTAAATTAATATGTAAGAGTTAGCCAATAAGAAGCTAGAGCTAATGGGCCAAGCAATTGTTTAACTAATACAATTTCTATGTGATTCTTTCAGCAGCCTCCTTACTACAATTGTGAGATACCATATGGATGCTGGAAATTGAATCTGCGTCCTCTGGAAGATCAGCCAGTGCTCTGGACTTCTGAGCCATCGCTACACTCTCTCTTCTTACCTGGAGGAAGTATGTGCCACAATGT